CCTTTTGGAATGGTTTTGGCCTTTCAGGCCTGGTTATGTCCTTTCTGGCCTGTGTTTGGCCTTTCTGACACTCTGTATAACCTGACTATTTGCGAAAAAAGATGTCATTTGTGTTCAGCAATCGAACTGTCAACATGCTTTACAAGAGAGTTTGCAGAAACTGTCCTCTTTGGTATTTACAAGAGGCGAAACTGCAACCTAAGGTCAAAGTCGTCGTTTACAAAAGTAAAGCTGATAATTCCGGAAAAAATCACTATCGCAATCCAGTACAGACACAAGAAACGGTGTACTGCGAACTGTCAAGATCACAGAGAAATGAAGCCTCTTTTCAAGCAAAAGCTAAAAGACCGACTACAAAGAACAAGACAAAGCCCAAGAAACAAAGAAAGTCGAACTCTTGGCTTCGAGGCAATAGGAAAATTGTGTAGACAAGGAAGGATTATTTATTATTCCTCGAAATAGAACGGAAAAAAAAAACTGATTTGTAATAGTCAGTCAAAGGATTCATTTTCATTCCTTTTCCTTTCAAATCGCTGTGTATTTGACTCTTTTTGTTATTGACTTTTAATAAAGTTTTTAAAACGGTATCTCTCTTGTGGTTTTATTGCTAGCAATTATTAGTCGCGTGTTCAAATTGATCCTTGTTAAGTTATTTAAAATTGTTTATATAATAATACGTCAAGGTGCTCCCTTGGGTCTAGCTGTAGAGATCAACTAATTTGTATTCAACTTTGGGCTTGTGACCTCGCATAATTAACTGACTAACGGCGCGCAAGACCATAAGCTCATCAAGCCCAAGGGCTGAGACTTCAATAGTTAGTCGTGTCCTCGAGATGGAACGGAGAAAACGCTTTTGTATTGGTGAGTCGAAATTGAAATAGAGAGTTTTCAGCTCCACTTTGTGTATGTGTGGTGTGTTTTGTTTATGTATCCGATTTTTAGCACTAAATAAGAAGACATGTGTTGCCAGGCGATCGCACCTCTTATTCCTATCTTTTTTTTAAATAGACGTTCCACTTATTCGTTACTAGAATGGAGTTTATTCAAGAACCAAAAGAGTTAGGGTTTACTTTAGCACCACCTGTTGTTTTCTATAGAATTTTTATACCCTGTGCAATACTTTCTACAGAGTCAAGTAAACAAATATTGACATTTTTGCTTGATAGGCAGTTTTTCGCTTCGCTGAGCTTCGACCTCGTTTTCATGTTTTGCCTGAAAAATTAGTACGATTTCGCATTCGCCTAACCTCCTATGCCCGTCTTTTGAAGTAAAGATTTTTCAGTTAACCTCCGTGTCTTGGTTTTGCTTATAACCGATTTTTGGTAAAATTAATAATTTAATGATTAAAGGTTTTTCATTTAGTATGATCTGCAAAGATAACACGTTCAAAATTTGCCAGCTTTTATTTTGAACTCATGACAGTTTCTACAATATCCGATCAGAAGACTAGAGCAATCAATATCTAATCAGAAGACTATAGCAAATAGCTAATTATATAAAAATCACTTTTCTGTTTATAGATTATGATCTCAACATTTTTTGATGACGTCAACTCTAGGAAATGCTGACAGCTACAAATAAACTATGACATCCTATTTATATGACATGCTTGTCGTCAGCCAGCTAAAAATAAACAATGACATCATCCTATCTTAATAGCATGCGTGACGTCATCGGCATTAATGTAAAGTATGACATCATCCTATCTTAATGAGACGCATGACGTCATCTGCATTAATTTATACCACTCAAAAAGTTAATTAAATCCACATGATGACGTCAACCCCTAGGGTATTGTGACGTCACTTGCTCCTTGCTAGCTATAAATAAACTATGACATCATCCTATCTTAAAGGAATGCATGACGTCATCCGCTTTAATTTAAACTATGACATCATCCTATCTTAATGAGATGCATGACGTCATCTGCAGTAATTTATACCACTCAAAAAGTTAATTAAATCCACAAAGAACCGGCGTAACCGGTGCCTTTTCCACTACTGACGCTAAAAATAAGGACTGTCCGTTTTTGCATACGTTATTTTTGTTCCAATTACCCGCTTCTCCCAGCCACTGGCAATTCCCATTGGCTAAATTACGATGCAAGCTGTCAAGTAATGTTTTCAACAAACCATTCGGGATATTCCGTACCGTGCGTGATGAATAGAGTCCTAAGGCTTTTGCTGTAAAATGACTTGATTGCTTGGATTTGCTCGCGCAAGAACTAGGATTTGTTTTAAAATCGAAGCAGAGGGAAGCTTTGGAGATGCTGCTCAGGGGAAAGGATGTTTTCTGTGTCCTACCAACAGCCTTATTTATCATATGCTTGTTCATGCAAAGAGTTCTTCAAGTTCCGTGCCACGGCCGACAGTCATTGTTATCTCGCCTGTGTAAAAAAGGGGGATCGGTAGAAAACACACGACTTTTACCTAATAATTGTTTTCTTTGTCGAGTAGATTACGCTTTGGAGGAAAACGTTTTGACTGGGCAATTGTGAATTTCATACTGAGAGGTCGTGACACGCATATTAATTTTCTCTGGTCGGTATGATTTGCCCACTGATGTAAGAGCATTTTCTTTTTTGGCCTCTTTAGAAATGTAAAGTTCTTCGTTGAGGCTGATTAAGGGTTTTAGGTTGTTCAGTTTCTCCAAAGTGCCTCCTGGATTTGAATAATTCTAAGCCATTTTCTTTGTGTCCATGAATGTGACTTTTTCCTGCAAGGTTTTGTCACGCTGGGCCCAGCTCGTTAGCGTTTTTAGCAGGATGTTTAAATTCTCACGGATAGTGATTTACAGAGTCAAATCACGAAGAAGTGGATTGGAATGAGGGGATTTACCCATTCTTTTCAGTCGAAATAATTGTTCATTGTCAGTTGGCGTGTTCAGTTTTTCCCTAATATGGGAAAGCATCGCAGCCCAGTTTTTAACCTTTGTTCCGCCGGAGTGCAAACTCTTGTGGAGAAAGATTCTCCTTCCTCGAGGACATAGAAAAGTTCGTTCTTCGGTAGGTCGGCCAACTTTGGTAACGTTTCTCCTTTTCTGGTAGGCGCAACAAACACATTTTCCGAGCTTATCCATCCACTTATAAAATTGCCGAACTGTGTTTTGAATCTACAATTTATCATAAGCGCTCGGCTTTTTCGGCTTACTCCCCCTTCGAGGAGCAGGCACAGGCTTTGTTGGCGTACTACTGCCACTTCCTCTCATTTTTGATCCTCTACTTTATATACCACAGTTAAGTTTTCTTAAAAATGCCGCGCACCTCACCTTGACCTCTAAACATCAACTTTGACATGTTACCTGAATGGCAACTTACTTATATTCTTTATTTTATTTTATTTTATCTCATTTTATTTACTTTTTATGACAGAATCCTTTCTTATTTGAACATACCATTTTGATTTTCACTAAATCATATCGTGAGCTGGAATCCCAGGTATTGTTGAGAACCGTCAGAGTCGAATGTTATTAATGCGTAGTTTCCAGTGACCAAAACTACCTTCGCACTAAGTTCGGTCCCACAATATGTACCAAGTGCTCTGTTGTCATCATCTACAATCCTCAAAGAATCATACCTAGAAGAGAAAAAATATGTTTTTTACTTTTCAAGGGCAGTTAAATTCTTAGAAATAACCCTAACCGCCAAGAGAACATAAAAGCTTTTTATGTTCTCCTGCCTCAAATAATTGCGAGTCGTGCTTTATGGTGAAGTTAAGGAAGCTCCAAACGTTTCTGCAGAATATCAAGCCGCCGATCAAATTCTTTCATTTTATGTTGCACTTGAGTCACTCCCGAGCAGTGGAATTGCCGTCGTCTACAAATGCCAATTAATGTTCAACAAGAGGCTTTTATGTTCTATTGTTTCGACCTACTTACATATGAAAAAGGCCTGTAAAAGGGATTTCACTCATCTCAACTCACGTAAAAGCATTGAGGCGTGAAATCTTAATTTTGGTTTTAAAAAAGCTATGGCATTTTGCAGATCGAAAACCATATCATTGGTCAGATCTCAGTTTAGCCAGTGAAACGTCTCTACACCTTTTGAGCCCACTATCTACGAGCACCAGCAACGATTATTCGATTTTGTAAATGATAGTTTGAATTTTGTTCATTAGGCTGCGAAACAGCCGACTCCCATCGCTCTCTGCCGCTAGGAACATTTCGAGAGAGAGCCGTCTGCGCCGAAACAACAGAAATACCATACTGATGAAGTAAAAGCTGTCACCTGGTCAATGACTAATGAATGCACTGTCTAGGCAGTATTTTAGGAGAAGAAAGCATCGAAGAAATCGTAGAAATTATAATTTTTTCGGAAGTAATCTTTCACAAAATATCATGGTTTCTATATGTGTTACTCTACTTCAATTTTTTATCCGAGAGCAAATGACACATTTGGGACCCCATTTGGGGGATGGTTTGGCTCCACTTGATCTATCAGTGCGGGAAGGGGATCGTTAAAATCTTGCTATGGCTTTAAATTGTGCTAAATGTTGGCATAAATTGTTAAATTGTGCTTAATGTTATTATAATATGTCAAAGGAATTATGATGGCTTTTTGTGTTATTTCTTTTCTCTAATAATTACTATTTCTTTCCAAATCAACATTCAAAGTTTTGTCGATTTTCAGCCTTGAATTAAGCCGCGCAACGCGAGCGTTGGATGGGGTGAACCAAAATTGTCTCAAAACTGGAGTGTTTGAAAAATACACTGATCTAGCGGATTGGGGCCCTTAAGTGCAGGTACATGAAAGTCTTTCAACGCACAAGAAATGAGCGAAATCCATTTTTCACGCCATATCGACCAGACCGCTAATTCACTGGAAGATACACTTTAATTCTTTTAAGAATTTTAAGAGCATCAGTGTGTTTTACATCCTTCTTCGTGTTATCATGAACCGTTCCTAAAGCCAGGTCTATCTTTATTTTAAAATGAGAGGGCTATTTATTCTCATTGGCCGGTGTTTTTCCCGGGGGAATATACTTACCTGTCAGCCTGGGTTTTTAGAAGCCTGATTTTGCCTTATTTCTAGGCCTAATATCACAGATCCGCAAACTTGCAGCGTACAAGCGGAACTTCGGAATTTGTGGGTATGTTTTTACCAGCAAAAATGTTACGTTTTGGAGTAATAAGTATCACTTGAAGTTAAGTTCCTAGTCTACTCTAACCAAAGCTGAGTCAGTTGAGTGGTTTTCAATTGTTTGTCATCTGTCACGTTAACTTTAAATGGCAAAAGTGAATCTGTACCACGTGACCAAGTTTTCCCTTTTCTTGACGTTTACTGTTCATTACTTCTAAAAAAAGTTAAATAAATTGGCTCACGCCAGTTTTATCCATAAGAATTGCTTTGAGCTGTTTTTACCTGCTATTTTTTATTTGAGATATTCTCAACTTGAATCTCACGTTTGCCGTTTACAGTTAACGTGACTCTAAATCTCTCTGTTGTTAAAACATTACTTACCCACAACGAGTTTCTGTTTCCAGGATAAAAGTTGAAAAACTGATCTTCAGTGCCTTTCCTGATGGAATGGAAACGTTGTACACACAGTGCATGTTATTTGGGTATTTTCTTGGAAATCTAGGACTTGTCAAGGCGTTGTTTACCACAGAACCACATCCTATAAAATCAGATTGCAATTTTACACATCAACTTGTGTTCTCTTAATCAATAGAGAACTTTGAGGTGTCGCCCTCAATGTTCTTTTTTCTAGGGTTTTTCCTTTGTCAAAAGTTTTAGATGACATAATAAACCAATTAAAACGAATTTCCTAAAAGCCACTTTTTTCCCACTGGTTTAAAAATGCAATGTCATACTCAACTTACAGGGTATTACCTGAAATCAAATCTGGCCTAGGGTGATTGAGTTTTTGAACACGATAGGTGGATCACGAAAATTGCCAAAAAACAACTTAAACAAGAAAAGTTGCCGGATGTTTGATAGTTAAACACTGCATTCTGCTTTCTCCATGTCGGCTGATTGGGTGGACGGACAGGAGAAAAGTAGGGGCGTAGTCATGATATTCTGCGCGATAAAAATACATGCGAACCCCCATAAGAGAGCACAAAAAATGCCGCTTAAGGTTAAGATGTCCGAAAACAACTTTTTTCATGGAAGAAAAGTTATTGCAAGTGTGTAGTTCCATGTTTTGCTAAAGTTCTCCGTATATTCCTACTAACATAGAACACACTGCCAAAATAGAGATCAGACAATGCTTGAAGGACAATGAAGTGGTCGTTTACAAGAGGTTAAAACCAATGGAAATCATTAAACCGTCAGACCTAAATAGTGGTCGTAGTCGCTTACAGGAGGTGGTCGTTTACAAGAGTTTCCAACTGTAGGGCTTTCACTGGGAAAGTTTTGGTGTTTGGCTCAGGTGGTCGCTTACGAAAGGTAGTCACTAACATAGGTTGGACTATACAATATACTCACTTGAATCAGCACTCTGAGCTGAACTGTAACACAGCATCAGCGATAGCACAAATACAAACTTCATCCTCCTGTTTAAGGAAAACGTAATGTTAAGGTGTTGTCCAGAAGGGCGCGGGGAGGTGGGTAAGCAGAATCACTGAGTTTCCCTGCTGTTGAAAAAAAAATTAACTCTTCTTTGTCCGTTTTAATAACTTCGAGGAAAACAATACTCTTCGATGGAGTGCCCAAGATAGAAAAAAAAAATTACCACTTTCAACAACAGGAGGAAATATCTGGTTATATTATAACTTTAGTCAAAAGCTGGAAGCGCCAAATAGGGAGAAAACACAAGTGACCAAGTCACTTGCGTAAGCAGCGAGACTCATAATCTGCAACAAGAGAGGATAAAGGGGACAGAGAAGGCATCCTCCACACACACCCTATTCCATAGGTAATTAGTCTCGAGTTATTTTTAAGACCACAGATCCCAAGGGGGATTAGACAACAGCCAATCACATAGCGCGAATGTGTTCCGCGTGGATGACCCACGCTCAGAGCCACGCGTCCTTCACGAATTGAGGCAGAAAAAAATGGCGGAAGACGCGGAGAGCAATATTGCTTTTCGTTTTGTCGACGAAAACGACTAAAGAGAGATTTCTGCTAAAGCTGTGTCAGCGAAACGGAAATTAAAAAAGGATCGCCCTTCCTCTCTTGTCTAGAGCTAACAGTACAGCAGGGAAATCCTTAACACAGTGAATATTCTCTCAGGGTCATTTATAATTTACCGTTTGGAGAGAGCAATTTCTGGTTTGATATTTATTCTTTTATTAGTCTTTTATTATTCAACAAAAATAACAACTGGCGTACTATAATAATAATGATAATAATTTAATAACTTCTAGAGCGCTATTTACATTCACTGATCAACAGCGCTTAACAACTTAAAAAAACTACAATAAAATTCAAATTTGTAAAATTAATTACATGTACATGAATATTACTTGCTACTTGCTTTATTATACAAACGACCGGTTTCAATAGACCGGCGAAATTTCTCATTTTATTAAAGCACTGAGGTTACGATAACTTCGAGTTAAACTGATTTCACGGGTTGTCAAAGAGTCGAGCGATTCCCTTTTCCCAGGTGAGCCCTGACTCATTCCCTTCAATATTCAGAAATGCTCTCGATCTCTTTACGCTTTCATTGCCTTTCGCCCGACATGTTTTGCGTGGCGTTTAGTCATGCGAAACCTCCACGAAACATCCACGCAGCGGGCGAGGTAACTTTATCCCGATTCTAAAAATAACTCGAGACAAATTACCTATGGAATAGGGTGTGTATGGGGGATGCCTTCTCTGTCCCCTTTATCCTCTCTTGTCTGCAACGCGTTTTTCGCCCGGAGGGTTGGGGGGGGGGGTTACTCCCATATATAGGCTATATAGGTATGTGCGGCGCCAAAGGGAATGCTTTTTTAGCCGTTTTGGTCTGAAATAGGGTATGGTTTGTGCACTCTAGTCTTGAATTGGGTATGTCTTTTTAGAAGAAGCTACAATCCTCTTCACATTAGTTGGGACAGTTGGGATGTTTTCTGCCCTTCCAATGTTGGTTTGTGCGAGTTGGCATCACAGAAGCAAAAAATAACTCCTATTTCAATTAATCTTCATTGGTTACCAGTTGAGTTTAGAATAACTTTTAAAGTCCTTTTATTGGTATACAAGGCCCTTCATGGCCTTGCACCTTCTTATATTTCTGACCTTTTGAATTTTAAAACATACTCTAGGTCATTGCGTTCTTCATGTAAAGAATATTTAGTGGTTCCAAGAAGCAGATTGAAAACATATGGAGACAGAGCTTTCTCTATTGCAGGACCTAAATTGTGGAACGATTTACCTCTAGAGATTAGGAAATGTGCTTCAGTGGCAACTTTTAAGCAATCCCTTAAAACTTTTTTATTTAAGTTAGCATAATTATAGGTTATGAGATTCCTTTTGTTTTAAGATGTTTTTGATTTATATAGTAGATAACTTAGGCTATATTTGAATTATATTGTATATTGTAGATATTTTATAATTTAGATTTTTTATATTCTATTTTGTAATTAGGTAGCACTTTGGACAATTATTGGATTTAAGCGCTATATAAAAAAATTATTATTATTATTATTATTATTAATTCAACACAGGAGGGAGAGAGCACAACGTTTTGTCGCTATACGGTTTTTGCACTGCGTGTCTCAACGTATTGTGAAGAGGATTGTAGTTCTTCATCATTTGGCGACAAGACCGTTTCCCTTTTAATGTTTACGCCAACCGTGTACGTGCCGTAACAGCTTGTCACGAGCTCCGGTCACGCGCTGGGCTCCAGGGCTTCAGGTCTCAAATAGGGTAGGGAAAATCACAGATTTGGCCTGAAATAGGGTAAGGGTTTCAGGAAGCGTGCCGCATGCCCCTACCCAATTTTTCTGGAAGTAACCCCCCCCCCCACCGTCGTATTTTATACACTAATGGGGGATCATTGTGCCAGGCGTTCGTAGCGGAGACCGTCAAAATTGAACGTGGTCGAAACCATGCATTTATTTGCGAAGAAAGCTTAGGAAACATTAAAGTTAGAGCTTTTCCGAAACATGTCAGTCCACGAATTCTATCGCTTGAAAGTGTTGAATACTTTGCAACAAGTGAACACTACTGAGTGGTGGAAAAAAAAAGGATCTTAATTAGCAAAACTGCGATGGTCGGGTGTTGAAAACTTTCATTGTATGCAAATTAATGTGTCTTGTGATGAGCATGCGGTTTATTTTCGGCGATGATTGTAATGACGTGCCAGGTAAATCACTTTTTTGATCTCTGGCAATGATGTACAGCCTGCCACCGCGGACGTATTTCCGGTCGTCGCTAACACGCGTACTAAATCAATTTAGAAACAAGTAAAAATTATCGACGTTGATAAAGTAGGAAGTAAAAAACCTTTAGCGAGTAAATCCTGTTTCTTGTAGAATTAATCGCCTCTTCATTTCTCGATCTAGTCTACTTTCGCTTGGTTGACAGAAAACTAGCGTGCGACTGATTTATTTCAATTTAACAAAGCGCGGTGTGATAAAAGTGCCGAGCAGTGAGCACAGAAAATATCAAATATCAGGTATAGCACACATTCCACCTGGATGGACCATTCCATTTGGTATTCCCTTTCCCCCACTCTTACAGAAACGAACAAAATTTTCTGAATCATTTGTGTGGATAACCAGTGCCGGGCTTTTCTCTAAATAGAAAATGTAAAGTTTAGTGCATTTTGTGGATGGTACAACTCAATCTCGTTACTTTTTCTCTTACCAAAAGAACTACCATTTGAGTTTGAAGGGAAAATTTCACCGAGATCTCCGTACTTTCGTATGCGCTCTAGCCAACCGCTGTTTTCCTTTTGACTAATTAGGCAAGGAAAAATAATTTTGGAAATTTTTTTCATTTTATATGGACAATACTATTCATTCCCTCTAGTCTTTAACGTCTAAAAGGAGAGCAGCAAATATTTATGAATCTAGACATTTTCTCTTCAAATGATCCCCTGGCTACATTTAATGACTGCTCTAATTGGCGCGAAGGTAACATATGCCATCAGTTGCACTGTTTGCGAAGTCACTTTATTCAGTTTGAAGGGAAACTATTGGAATAGAAACAGTCACACAAAAAGAAATTCCTTCGGTCCGCGATGAATTACTTTTAACGAGCCAAGAAAGGGCCAGCGGTTAAAATTAAAATTAGAACCTTTTAAGGTTTTTAAAAATAGTTTCCCTGGCAACGTGTAAAACATGGCTTTTATTGGGGTAAATCGAACCTTTAAAATGACATGCAAAACGTGGCAAATAGACCAATTATAAAATAACAGCTAGTCCGCATGAATGATATTAGCACGTGTTTCGGGTCACATGTATTGTCACGTGTTCACTTCCTCTTAAATTGTGCTGGTTTTCGTTGCGTTTTTACTCGTTCTTTTCGAACATCTAGGTCTTCAACTTTTCCTTTTTGAATATGCATGATGTAGTTCAATTTTACCTACGGTTTGATTTTTTTTGTCCCTTTCTTATAATTCTGAGCAAGGTCCTGAGAGCTGATTGGCATCGAAGTGTATTAATGGCGTGTAACGCACCATTTTCACGCATTGATGACATCTTCTCTCTTCAGCGACGTTCTATAAAAAATAGGTTTTTTTTTTTTTTACTTTACAGTAACTCAAAATGAGATTAAACTTTCATTTGAAAGCTTAATATTCAGGTTTGTTTATGTTGCTATTTGAACATAAAATATACTTCTAAACTTTTTGCAGCTGCGTCTGTAGTTGTTCATAATGCAGAGCACTCAGCTTAGTTTGAGTATTCAAAGGGTCACGTTAGAGACTTCTTGTTCATACTCTCTTCTCGGGATGGAAAAAAGACCAGACACGAGAGATCGGCGGAAATAAAGCGGAATGAATGAACCCACAAGCTGAGTGTACAAAGACGGAAATCATATGTTATACTGCTCCAATAGTTCAGTATTTGCCGGAACTTCTCTTTTTCTTTACAGCCAGCCTGTCCGTGTAATTGCCGGTAAGGCACTCGGATAAAGGAGGATTTCCACTGTCGATTTTACGCGCGTAAATAAAATAGAAACAATGTGTGAAAGGTCACGCGTTAACATAAAAGTTGAACCTCGGTCAACTTTCACGTTTTACTCGTGGCCTTTCATATGATTACCTCTATATCATTTACACGTGCGTTCGCACGGAAAAATTACTCGACAGTCTCAACCCTTAACTCAGTACAACATTCAAAAACAGAGAATAAATCAAATTGAAACCGGGGATATAGAATTGAACAACTACATGTGCATATTTCCACTTTCCGGAGAAGTCCGCGATCGAGACTCTTCTGTATATGTGCTCGTGTAGGATATTTACCCAGGCTGGCGCGCAGTACCGAAGAACACGGCATTGACACTACAATCAGGTTGAACGGGTCTACTGTTTATAAGTAACATAACTCGGTATAACTTATTCCCCTTTTAGGTATTTTCTTTTTATATAAAGGCTATATGCCTATTGTACATTGCTTT